ACTTTGACTCCCACTTGACGATGACGAAGGTGATGAGTCTCCTTGAGTGGTTGATGTTGGTGAAGTGGGTGGAGTTGCAAGCTCTTGTTGAGATTCATCTAGTTGTTCCCTCATTGTCTGCTCATCTTCTTCAAACTGAGGAAAGAAATTAAAGTCATCTGTATGAGAGTTAAAATCCCATTCTCCTTCTTCGTTGAAGACCACATCTCGACTAATCACAAACTTCTTATTGTTTGGATTGTACAACTTGTAGCCCTTCGAATTAGCATCATACCCGATGAAGATAAAACTCTCGCTTTTATCATCAAGCTTCGTTCTTCTCTCGTCCGGTACGTGAACATGGGCTATACTTCCAAAGGTTCTCAAATGGGAAATGCCAGGCTTTCTTCCACTCCATGCTTCTTGCGGTGTCTTTCCCTATACACTTCTTGTTGGAGATCGGTTTGTCAAGTAGACTGCACACGCTACTGTCTCCGCCCAAAATTCCTTAGGTAGTTTCTTGCTTTTGAGCATGCTTCGTGCCATGTCAAGGATTGTTCTGTTCTTTCTTTCTGCCACACCATTTTTCCGGGGGGATCTAGGAACTGTCATTGGTCGACGAATTCCATTTGCTTCACATAACTCTTGAAACTCCCTGAAAGTAAATTCTCCACCTCGATCAGATCTCATGGCTTTAATCTTTCTACCGCTTTCTCTCTCCACTGCTGCTTTGAACTTCTTGAAGACTTCAAAAACTTCTGACTTCTATTTCAAGAAATATACCCAGGTTTTTCTTGAAAAATCATCAATGAAGAGAATAAAAGAGTTACTGTTACCGAGAGAGCTCGGTTTGATCGGTCCACACACATCGGTATAGATGAGCTCGAGTGGCTTCTTGGCTCTTGTCTCTGACTCCTTTGGAAAGCTTTTCCTGAGTTGTTTCCAGCTAGACACCCTTCACAAAGCTGGTCAGGATGGTTGATGCGAGGTAGTCCTTTCACCATCTCCTTCTTAGATAGCAGCTCTAGACCTCCAAAATTGAGATGCCCAAATCGAATATGCCAAAGCCATGATGCATCTTTATAGCAAGCTTTCAGGCACTTTGCAACATCATTTTGTATGTTGATCAAGAACATTCTATTCTTTGACATCGGCACTTTAGCAATGAAGTTATTCTTATCATCTTTTATAGAAAGATTATAATTATTCATGTGAATATCATAACCTTTCTCTACCAGTTGCCCTAAACTTAAGATGTTACTTTTCATATTGGGTATATAGTAGACATTTGAAATAAATTGATGCCTCCCATCTTTCAAACGGATAAGAATGTTACCTCTCCCTTTCACTGCTATTGTGGAATCATCTCCAAACGAAACATTTCCGCTTACTGACTCGTCTAGCTCCACGAACATGTCTTTCCTTCCACACATGTGATTGCTTGCACCACTGTCAAGATACCAGGAATTTGCTTGGCCACCATCAGTTTCCTTTCGTGCTAGAAGAAGAGTTTCTTTGCCATCTGTCTTTTCCTCCACGTAGTTAGCCTTCTCCTCAATTTTGTTGTTGGGAGCTCTACATTCTGAAGCATAATGCCCAAACTTTTGACAATTATAACATCGAACTTGAGATTTGTCATGCCTTGAGTTTGGATTGATTCTTCCACGGCCTCGTGTTGAGCTTTCTCCTTTCTCAAAGCTGTTGTTGGAATTGTTGTTGTTGTAATTCCAGCCTCGTCCACGACCTCGACTTCCACCTCGTCCATGGCCTCTGCCTTGGCCACGTTGGTTTCTATCATTGCGTTGGCTTTCATGCATATCTTTGAGTTGCAGCTTGAGGAGTTGCTCAGTAAACTCATGCTTCTTCTTATGCTTCTCTTCGTATGCTTGCAATGATCCTTGGAGTTGCTCGATCGTCATTTCTTCCAAGTCTTTAGTTTCTTCAATCGTCACGACGATGTGCTCAAATTTGGGATCCAACGAACGGAGTATCTTCTCTATTATCCTCACATCGTCTAACTTTTCACCATTTCTTTTTAATTGATTAGAAACAGCTACTACTCTTGAGAAATAATCTGAAATAGACTCAAATGCTTTCATGTTTAAGGATTCGAATTCACCTCTTAATGTTTGGAGACGAACCTTCTTCACTTGCTCGGATCCTTTGTAAGAGGTCTGCAGCTTCTCCCACGCTTCCTTGCTAGAGCTTGCACTTGAAATCTTTTCAAAACCATCATCATCTAATGCTTGATAGATGAGGTAGAGAGCCTTCTTGTCTCTCTTTCTTGAATCATTCAAAGTTGTCTTTTGATCTGGTGTAAGAGTAGCAAAAGCATCATCATCCGCAGGCTCGTTATAACCTTTCTCTATGATATCCCACACATCTTATGATCCAAGAAGTACCTTCATTTTGATACTCCAATTGTCGTAGTTGTTGTTGTTGAGTGTCGGAACTTGGAATGGTGTCATACCATTTGCCATATCTCTCAATATAATGAGATTTTGTAAAATCCGATTGCACGGATGAATCCGGAACGCTGAAAAAAACTTTGGAGGGACTTGGACAACTCGGTCAAGGGCTCCAACTCGGCTCAACTCGATTTTCTGGCAGCAATCTTCCGGCGGTGCGTGGCGGTGCGTCAGAACTCAGATTGAGAAAATTCTGGCGGCGTCGGATTCCTCTCGTCGAGACCTTCGATCTTTCCAACTCGCTCTAATACCACTTTGTTGGAAATAAAACACTCACACAAACAAATTTTATTGAGACTCAAACAAATATTACAAGAGCACTCTCACTCAAAAATAAGAACTACAACTTACTCTTATAAGACTTTGCTTCTTCACTCACTTAGAAGCTCTTAATTTTTCTTGATGCTTAAAACTAAAATGGGAAGGGGTATTTATACTACTCAAGAACAATCCTACACCACACAAATAAACTAATTTAAACCATTACAAATTCAACAAATATCTAACTCTCACCTAACTAAATTGATGTAAGCAATGACATCATTACTTAAATGATGTAAGCAATGACATCTTTAATTAAATGATGTAAGTAATGACATCAATTTAGTTTGGGTTTAGGCTCCCATAATGGATCAAGTTTATGATCCAACAGTTTTTGTATCTTGTTCAGCAGGAAATGGTGGGCCTGTACCATGCAGCTTGTCGAATGTTGCACCATGGATAGCGACCATAGGTACCAGAACATTAGACCGTGAGTTTCCTACCCTCATTACTCTTAGAAATGGCGAGAAATACACCGACGTGACACTTATATTGGAAAACTAGAAGCTAATTCCAGTGTGCCTCTAGTTTATGGCGCTAGTGTGAGTAATATAAGTGTTGGAGGTTATTGCCTGGATGGAATTTTGATTCTGGAAAAGGTTTCAGGGAAAATTGTGGTATGTGATCGAGGGGGAAATGCGAGGGTCGAAAAAGGAGTGGTGGTTAAGGCTGGTGGTGGTGTAGGGATGATTTTGGCGAACATTGATCCTTTCGGCAAAGATTTAATTACCGATGCGCATCTCATGCCTTCAGCAGTTATTGGTGAGAAAACTGGGGATTCAATCAAGAAATATATATCTTCTGATCATAATCCAATAGCCACAATTGGTATTGCAACCACAGAGTTAGGTGTTCAACCATCCCCCTTGGTTGCAGGATTCAGTTCGAGAGGTCCGAATCTGGTCACTCCAGCGAAACTTAAACCGGGCATTATTACACCCAGAGTTGATATCCTTGCAGGGTGGAGTGGTGAGGTCAATCCAACCGGATTAGAGATCGACAAAAGGCATGTAAACTTCAATATCATTTTGGGAACATCCATGTCATGCCCCCATGTTAGTGGTTTAGCTGCAATTATCAAAGCTGCTCATCCCGAATGGAGTCCAGCAGCCATTAAATCCGCCCTCATGACCACTGCTTACACATCTTAGAGAAGTGGTGAAAAGATTAAAGATGATGTCATAGGAGAAGAAGCAACACCGTTCGATTACGATGCCGGACATGTCCATCCAGTTGCAGCCCTTGACCCTGGCCTTGTCTATGGCGCCACCATCGACGACTATCTCCGTTTTCTTTGTGCAGTGAACTACACATGAGATTAAATTAAGAGCACTACTCATAGAGACTTTACTTGTGACACAAGCAGAAAGTACACGTGGGAGATTTCAACTATCCATCATTCTCAGTTCCCCTAGAAACTTCCTCGGGCTCAAGCACCATGAAGTATAATAGGAATCTAGGATCCTTACGAATGTCGGTGCTCCTGCAACTTACAAGGTTTCTTTGTATACACAGACACAAGCAGTGAAAATCTCGGTCGAACCAGCAACACTAAGTTTCACTGCACAATACAAGAAGAAGAGCTATACCGTGACATTCGGAGCTAGTTCTATGCCATCTGGTTCGACCAGCTTCTCCCATCTCGAATGGTCGGATGGAAAACACATTGTTGGTAGTCCGATAGCTTTCAGCTGGAAATAATTGTATTTACAAATGGATTTAAAAGAAATATCAAGAACAATGCTGGGGAATAATTGGACAGTGTGAGCTACCTGTATAAGGAATTGGCACATGAAATTAGACTAGATTCCAAGTTTCCTGTCTTTCATGGTTCTGTTTATGCATTCCTCCCCTGAGTTGCCTCCAGTAAAGAAAGGGTATAATTTGAAGAACGGCTCCTAAAGTTTTATTAATTTATAATCACGTCCTTGTAGCGAGCCATGACAAATGCTTGGCATTTAGATGAAGTTCCAGCTTCGATCGTTAAATGTTGCTATTCCTACGCCTATGCCTATGAACTTGACCGCCCTTTCTTTCCTGCAGTTTTAAATAAATCGGTCTTCGCCTCTCTCGCTTTTAATTTCTTCTTCCTTTTTCCAAATTCAGATCTTGATAGATTTCGTTTAGTGGCGCCTTCAGGTCCGGAATTTTGCAGGAACTTAAGATTTTGTTAAAAAATTCGGATAACGTTGATTTGGTTTCATTTAATCGTGTTATTAATTGATTAATTAATCGAAAAGGGGGATTTTCTTTCTTTCTTTCTTTTTAAATCTTTCGTTTCTTCTGAAATGGCTTCGAGTTTTGATCGGTGGGAAAAAGACCCTTTCTTCTCTGTTGCTGAAGAAGTACAGCGATCTGCTGACAGGTAAATCAGTTACTTTCATCGTTTAGGGTTCCTGATTTTTTTATTTGTTTTGTTTGGTTTTATACTCATAATTCGAATCTAAAGAATTTGATTTCTAAATGATAAAATGAAGATTTAAAATTTCAATTAATCTATTGTTTGGTTTAAATTTTGGTTTGTTTTCACGCGACAACAGATGTTTCTTCTCAGTGGAATTTTGAGGAGCTTGGTAGGGATCTACGTACTACTATTAGCACTACCAAATGGCAGGTCATCTTTGTGCGTTCTATCATTATTTTCATGATTTATTCGTTCATGAATTGGTTCATGATCTTGAGGAATTGAATTTGTTTTTGCAATTAGAGGAGTTTGAAAAGGCTGTTCAATTGAGTTCCCCTAGCGAGGAAGCTAGGGATAGGCATTGTGAATTCATCTTAGCAATTAATGATCAGATTTTAAAGATTGAAAAATATTTGCAGGAATCAGCTTGTAAAGAGGTTAGGTCATCGATGCATTTGGATGAAGGTGAACCTAACGAGCTCGCTTTGTTTTTGTTTGCACCCAGAGACATGACACTTCCTTCTAAGAATCATGGTAGGGGTAATGAAGTTCGACGAGGGATGAATAGAGAATCAGCAACAGATTTGTTGAAGAATGCCGCTCTGTCTATTGAGTTGAGATCATCTGAGCCTAACAGTGAGAAGTCAGTCGGGCATAGGAGGGCTGCTGGTGCTGCTAACATTGGTGCTTGGAAGATTGCAATTGGTGATGATGTTGTACAGAAAAACACTTCCAATAGTCGGCCTTCTATTCCACCACGAAGGGCACCGAGTTCTGGTTCCCTAAGTTCCATGGAATCTGCAGCCATGGGGAAGTGGTCAAAGAATAGCTTCAGGAAGTCAAAGGCAACGACTGTCATCAAGAGTCTAAAGCAGATTTCTTGAGACCTCCCGAGTTGCCTAGGGTGAAATTCTACCACTTTATTAAATGAGTTATAGTTTTCGATATTTACTTTTCGTTACCATATTCTATGCCATTCCATTAGTGTTTATAAGTTCCTGTTTTATCTTTTCGTTCTGCAGGGGGCATGATAAATGCTATGAAAGAATAGTGGTGGTGTGGATTGTGATGATAAGCAACTTAATAGCTAGTATGGGTCTTTCCAAAAACAGCTTCGAAGGTCTCAGTATCAAACGAAAACTAACCGTTTTATCGACATAGCAGTTTGGGCTTTAATGTTCATTTGCGTGATTGGTGAGCTGTCCTCAAGTTCTCATTTTTTTTCTTCATCCTTTTTGGGTTTGTTACAGATATTTTCTGGTTATCTGTTTACGAGCAAAGCTTAATGCTCTTTATCATCAATGCAATATCTTTTTTTTTTTTAATGTGAGCAAAATATTTACCAATGTTTTCATGATTAGTGAAGTCAATTTCATTCTTTGGCTTTATCTGCACGTTGTGCCACTTAGCTTGAATGGTGAATTCTCATGGCAATGGGGCATAAGAGCGATGCATTCTGCAGAGTGACCTGAAGAAGAAAACTCCAAATGCATATCTGGACCTTATATTCCTTATTTCATAATATTAGGGAGCCATTAGAGCTTGCGATTCCAAATGCAGACTAATTGTGGACAAACGATTATAGATGAAACTAGAATCAGGTGGATATTACTTCAAAATCTTTGCAGTTTTAGGTCTTGTAGAATGCATGGCCTGGAATCTTAACAAGTTTACGAGATAAAAACAGAATATAAATATTCAATGAAATGAATTTCCTAATTGCACCATTTTTGGTCCATAGGATTGATTGCTCTTAAGAGAATTGAAATTGTAATGTTGTTATTGATAAAGATACAGCAGGTTGAATAGAATGGAGAATTCCTGGTGGTTATAAAAATAACGGTATGGAATCTATCTGGTTGAAGGATTTCAAAACAATTCGGTTTGTTGTAGAGTTTTTTGCAATTAGATGGTTAGCAAGTTGAACTTGGGTTACTTAAATGGTTTAGATAATAGCACAAATAGCCCTAGGGATTTATCTTGTGAAGGATTAACAGTATGCTGGTAGAAAACTATGACAGGCTTGAAATCACATGGGGTGTATTGAGATTTAAGTGCCTTGATATATTACGGCGATAAAGTCGTTTTCTTTGCCTCATGCGATAACGTGTAACCAAATTCATATTGTTCTAAATTTAGTTCGCCAAATTTATGATGCTTAAACTTCTTTTTATCCTATGCAGTTTTGATCGCATTGCATAACATATGAATAGGAGACACTTGGACCGGCGATTTAGAATCAGTGGCAGATTATTTGGCCGAAAGTGGTTGAGGAGTATATGATGAGCATATTATGCTTTCACTGGATGATATGCCCGGTTACGTCTTGGGCGAAGATGTCTTGGGTGAAGGTAGCATGATGAAAAGCAAGAACACCTTCTGTTCCTTCTCTTAACTACTTCTTGCCTCTCCCTTCCGACATCAATTTTTTTCTGATGAAGGGCAGGTCCCGTAGTTTAGCTAGGATCTGAGGGATTATGGAGTTGAACCGAGGCTGTTGGGTCATTTTCTTTTTTCCTTTCTGAATAGTAACATTGTATTAACAGCTTGTATCATTTGAATCATCCCTTTGCCACCTTTTTTTTGAACTTGTAACCAATTAGGATAGGAAGTGGGAAAAGGGAAAACTTCTGTTGCTACAATATTTACCAATTGATAATAGTAATCGATTTATTTAGTTGGTAACTCATCCCTATAATCATCAACTGCAGTAACCAAAAGGACTACAAGTGAAGGTAAAAAGGAACAATAATAGTACTGAATTCTTAGGCATCTTGAAGACTAAGTTCTTAGTCGTCTTGTTATGTCCGGTATCGTTGAATTCTTTTGTCGCATCCTTCCCTGCTGATTCCAGCACCTCTTCTCCTTCTGGATGTTCTTCCAGGAACTTTGTACCGTTCAGAACCTCATAGAATTAGTTAAGTCTCTGATTATTTATTACATAAAGATAAGAATATTAATCGGTTGGTTCGGGTGAAAAAGAAAGTAGGGTTACTCTGCCGGGGATGACAAGCCAACAAGCGTTCTTGGATTTGTGTTGAACAAGCTGGGAGGGTGAAAACTGTGTTTTGTCATTGTTGTTGTGAGAAAAGACTGAGAATACAGGCGAAACTGATCTAGTTTAGAAACAATGGAAGTGGGATTGCAACTGCAAGCTTGGAAATGGTAGTTCCCAGCACGCGACCTACCAATCTTGGTGATGGGAAAGAGGAGAATATGCAGGTGAATAGTGAAAGACTTAACAAAAAAAAATCCTAACTCGTCTTCTGAGTTGGTAATGGGTTAAGTGAGTTGCAGGGGACCTAGACTAGAAGGTCGAAATTGAACAAAGGACAACAACTTGGAAAGATAGGATGGTAAGCCACTCCTGACGTTCCCTGGAACAGGTTTACAAACACGACCAACGCAGAAACTCATATTAAAAGAATAAATTTATAAAGTATTGACGACACTCGTCCAACCTCTTAATCCATCCCTGATTACAAAATACACACATGATAAACTTTTCACTGAGTAACTTCATACCTCAATCTCTTGTAACTGTTAAGATTTATCAACTTTAGCCCGGGTGTTTCTTATTCAAGATTTTAAAACACTTTTAGGGTGTTAAATAAATGATTATAGATTTCAACGAATTGTTCATAAATCTTTTGCATAATGTTCATGTATTAAGCTAAATAAGTTAGTATAAACAAAATTTTTCTGTTCATTTAATAAACAAACGACCACAAACATAGGTGTATTTTAGTATTGTATAAATGTATTATTTATATTGAAGAAAGATACACATTTTAGTATTTTAGTAGTTTGGTTTAGATTTTAAGGAATTTCTTGTTTCACTAATTTTTTTCCTGAAAGTAATCCATGAAAAATTAGTTGATTTTTTGAAAAAAATAATAACATAATTTAATATTTGAATGATTTTATATAAAGTATTTTTAAAAATATTTTTAAAGAAACAAACACATTAATCGTTTCCATTTTATCTTTTTGATTTTTCATACTAAATTTGTTTCATTGATGTAAAATTACATCTGCAATATTTTGTTTTGCAATAACTAATAAATACATCAAATTATATATTATATCATTCAAATCTTTTTATATAGTTAATGTAGATGAAGAATTATTGTATTTTTATATAAAAATCCCATAAATAAACGATTATTTGAACTGTTAACCTATGAGATATAATAATTTATATTACACAACTCCCAAACTAATATCGGAGTAATGATGTTCACTATTTGCAACACTAGAAATATAATTGATTTAAAAGTATTAATACTTATAGATATTCAGATTTTGAAATAAATAGTAGATCAATGTATTTGCTTACATAGTACTTCATATTTATATTTTGGAGTATTACAGTTTGAATTTAACGCAAACTCTTAAATAGAATAAAAACGAAGTATTAAGATGAGTGTAAGACAATTTAGATTGGTATATAAATTTTATAATAATTTGATGCAGAAATCATATGAAAAACATACATATATAAAAGATTTTATTTGTTCTACAAATATTGATGTTTTAAAATAATTTTTAAAAAAATATTTAAAATAAATGATAAAATATTGAAAATATAAAAATATAAATTATTTAAAATTGTAAAATTTTAAGAGTTATTAAAAAAATTGTAGAAGACCAAAGATTAATTTAATTCGACAAAAAAAACTAAAAGCTCATAGATAAAAGAAAGTAAAAAAAAATAAACTTTAAGGATTAAGATGATTTTAAAAAAAAATAACAATTGAGGGTAAAAATGTTTTTTTATAAAATCTTTTTAGGGTAAAAAATATCATTAGACCAAAAATATATGAAACACAAAACTCATGATATTTATGCATAATAAAACTCCATAGAGACCGACATAGATTATATAAAAAGAGTTCTACAAACAACCAAACACTACATAGTTTTGCTTATGTCCATGAATGCTTATGTCCATGAAGGGAATAAGTCTGAAGCAAACATCTTTATTCAAACTGCTTAAACGACTTCCCCTATATTACATTCCTGCAAAAGCCTCCATGCATCTCCATCCTATCTCCGATGCCGCTTGGTTCGAAAACCGAAGCGCAACACTCCGTTCGCTCCTTCGGAGTAAACATCTTTCTCGCTTTCCGGATCTTCTTACGGCATATCGGACACATCTTGTTATCTTCCTCCATGACCCTGCAAATTTTTTCTGTCAGTGAGGGGTTTTAAAAGATTATATGTAGTGGAGAAGGTTGTTTTGTCTTTAAGTTTGTACCTTTTAGCACACTCATAGCATGTGGCACAGTGTCCACAAGGCACGAAGAAGCAGTTGCGTTGAACCTCATAGCATATAATGCATAATTTGGCGTCTTTGAGGTCCCTCGAAGAGCTACTTTCATCATCATTATCTTCCTCAGCACTGGTCTCGTTGGTCGGAATCGGCTTCTTTGGCAAAATAGGGTTTGTCATCATTCTCCGGTCGAAATCGCTATGGCACGACTCTTGGGCTTTCAGCAGCAGCAACATCATGATGATGAAAAGTCCTACAGATGACAAAACTATTAGCCCACCATAGCAGTTAAAACTTTAGGTCTTGTACTTTAATATGTATATGGTACCTAAAAGACCAATGTACGAGACATCTCGACTATCGTAAGTCAGCTTGACGTAACGTCCATCGACATCACTCTGAGAAAAATAGAATTTGAGTCGATATCTAACCGATAAAATTAAATCGGATTACAAAAAAGGGTTTAGAGCTTACATTATCAGGTGTTGAAACCACAACATAGTGTCTGTTGGGAAAATGAAGATCGAGAAAGCATGATCCCTTTAGCGTTGAACACACACTTGTGGCTTTTGTTACATCATAAACCATGGCTGTAACAGTTATATTAAGTGTCATCTTTATGGTTTTGGGGTTCGAGTTAATCGCACCTACATAGTAGGTGCCATCTTCTTCAATGGTGTACTCGGCTTCTTCACCTGGAATAAAACCTTTAAATAATCAACAGACAATTGTCCTGAAAGAACTAAAGATTGAAGGGATGAGTTTTACCAGTCACTGGTTCATTCAAGAAAAGGGAAAAGAAGGGAAACGTCATTATGGGCAGCAATGTGTATTCTCCTATTGTTCCTGCAAAAAACATGACTAATTCTGTAAGTTTCAATCCACATTCCAGAGGGACTAAACAGGATAGAACTCCCTTCTAGTTTAGACGGAGAGTTACAGTCAGTGTAAAGAAGACCGTGAGATAGAGAAAAATAGAGGGAAGAAAATTGTTTTAGGTTGGAAATAGAAGTGTTCGAGAGAGAAATCTCTTTTCAGGTTTTCTGATAGGCTTTAATATCGATATTTTGACAGTTGATGTCAGTCTAGGATCATCATGCATGTTAGTAAGTTGACAGATTATACATATATGACTGTCAAATATCAGATTTGGCTTTGTAAACGTCGGAGATTAAAGAGTATAGACTTAAGAACAATCTCGACCAGAGATGATGTGGTATCTTTAAAAAAAATTATTGACAAAGATTTGATAGTTTCTCTAAGACTAAGACGACTTACCTTTAACCAAAGAGACTTCAATTTGGTCTGATCTACTGGTTGGAGTGGTCCATCTCATGCAGATCTTAGAACCCTTGTTCAACCACAAAGAGTATCTCTGAAATCCAATTTCAAATCTTATCAACACAGTCATCAACCTCATGAAACATAAACCAGACATCTAATGTTACACACATACATACCTTCCGATCATATGATCCGACAGTCAAATAACTCGAATAGCTCCAATTCGCTTCCTTGTTCAGCTCAGGTTCCTCAGAAAACCCATAAACAAGAACCCCCGTACCATTTTCATCTCGTACTTTCACCTGTTCAGCAAAAACAGCACTGGTCCTCATCATCCGAGAAGAGCTCGGTCCAAGCACCATATGGAGGTCCCCATAGCACCCAACTCGGATCATCACCGCCGCTGCAAAACCAGCAAAACAAAACAACTGAAGAATCAATGGAACATAAGCATATTGATTAAAGGGAAAAGGAGAGTGAAAGAGTGACATGCCACACATCCAAAAGCACAGAGGAGGTAAGTATCGTGTCCAAGTGCCACGCCAGCGAGGGATTTGGTTAGGGTGGGTGAATGGTATCGGGTCTGGCCGGAACATGGTTGATGGGATTTGGAAAAACTAGAGAGAAATGCAGTGAAAAGTGATGAAAGGGTAGGAGAAGAGTAGTGGCTTTTATGGACGTGGGAGGAGTAACCGTTACGTTTGTGATTGGCAGGGGATTTTGGTGAAGCGTTTTGTTGAAGGTGAGGTGTTAGACAATGGCTAAAAGATGCTCGTTTTTCGAGGCCGGCGGTTTCATGCACCAATTTACCATTGGCGTCGCCAGCCAGCCGAAGGAATTCCGGGGTGAAACCAGTAGAAACGTGCAAGGCATGAAGCTTAGTAGAATAAGGACGATTTTTCTTGAGTTTTGAAATCTCTTTTTCTTGTATTATACCACTATAATTATCCTGTATTGTAAGAAAATTTAAAAAAATAGACGAGTGAGATTAATAATATAAAAGAATATTTTATAATTTAAAATTAAAAAAATAAAAATATAATACTGAAATTAATAGTAAAAATGACAATATATTCACTAGAAAAAAATAAAAAATAATTCATTCTTTTATTTTTACTCATCCCACAATTTTAAATCTGTGTAAATTTAATTTTTTTATTAAGTGTAGGGATGGACTAAGTGGGTCGGCATCCCCAAATGTTTTTAAATTATTATATATTTTAATTTTTTTTATGTATTTTCTATTGATAATTTATTTTCGTCATCTAAAATTTTATAATTCTCAACTTCTCCTAAATTTTTAGAAACTTGCCCCGATCCTAACTCTGTTAACATAAAATTTATTATTTTATAATTATTTATTATAATGACATGGATTATAAATACTTTTATTAAATAACATATATGTGATTCTATTACATTTGAAAATAAAAAAAGCCATGTCCCTAAATGCATTAGACGATTCTTTTATATAATTGTACTAGTATGTTGCTCGCTTCGCAGGGCTTGATTCATGATTCTCTATATGATCTTAAATTACTTATTATGGAAGGGAGTTCTCCATTCAATTCTTCATTTCAAGTCTCTAACGAGATTATATTTGGTCTCAACCCTAGGAGAATACTTGTTGTATTTCTCATATTTTGTTACTTTATATTTGAAGTTGATATCGAATATCTGAATTACATATAATATTGGGATATTTAAAGAAAGTGAATATACTTCTCGAGTTTTGAAGGACATTTGTTGTCTGTTATGTAGTTTACTATTTTATTTAACGTTAGCGTTGAATGTCGAACTTACAAGCAACTTTCAAGTCTTTTAGGGAAAAAAGACATTTCTCAATTCTCGGAGGAAACATGTGATCTTCAACTCTTTAAGAAAAGAAGATATATTTCTCGATTTTTGAGAGAATACGTATTGTCTATTCTATACTTACTCAGAGCTAGTAACGAGTTCTTGACTCACGTGCAACCTTCACGTCTTTAAGAAGAAAAAAGAGAGGATATTTTCTCAGTTCTTGAAGGACACGTGTTGTACATCCCATACTTTATTATTTTATTTGAAATGGATATTGAATGTGCGACTCCCATGCGATGTTTAGATATTTAAAGAAAGAAGATACACACCAAAATTCTCGGAGGATACATGTTGTCTATTTCATATTTGTTCGAATCTATCATTGAGTGCTTGACTCGTACTCGGCCTTCATATTTTCAGAAAATCAAGATACATCGATTTTTAGGGTGACACGTGTTGTTTATTCCATACTTATTTGAAGTTAACATTAACTGCTTGTCTCGCTGCGACCTTCAGGTATTTAAGAAAAATAAGATATCATGATTTTCAAGGGGATACACATGATCTATTCCACAATTATTCGCAATTAGTGTTGAGTGCTTGACTCACATGAAACCTTTGTGTCTTTAAGAAGAAAAAGACATTTCTCGATTATTGAATAGCACTTGTTGGACATTCCATACTTTATTACTTTATTTAAAGTTGACATTAATATGTGACTCACACGCGACTTTCAGATCTTTAAGGAAAAAAGATATTCCTCAGCTCTCCGGGATGCCTATTACTTATTTCATATTTGTTCAGAGCTATCATTGAGTGCTTGACTCACATACAACCATCAGATTTTTAAGGAAAGAAGATATACTCATAGATTTTTGGGGCAACACGTGTTGTCTATTCTATATTTATCTGAAACTAATATTAAGTGTTTGTCTCACATGCAACCTGCAAGTCTTTAAGAAAAGATGATACATTTCTTAATTTTTGAAAGTATGCATGTTGTCTATTCCACACTTATTCAAAGCTATTATTGAAGTCTTGACTCACGTGCGATCTTCACGTCTTTAAAAAAGAAATAGACATTTCTCAATTAGGACACATGTTGTACATCCCATACTATATTACTTTATCTGAAATGTACATTGCATATGTGACTCCCATGCGACTTTCAGATCTTTAACGAAAAAAGATACACGCCTCAATTCTTGAAGGCCACGTGTTGTCTATTTCTTATTTTTTTGAATCTATCATTGAGTGCTTGACTCATATGTGGACTTCATTTTTCAAGGAAAGAAGATATGCTTCTCCATTTTTGAGACGAGACGTGTTGTGTATCCCATACTTGCTTGAAGCTAACATTAAGTGCTTGTCTTGCGTGCGGCCTTCAAGTCTTAAAGAAAGAATACATGTTCCTCGATTTTTGAGGGGATACACTGTTGAAAATTGGTTGCAATTGGAACGGAAAGTTTGGCACCGAAAATTTGATTGTAAATTGTTGAAAGTTGGTAGCAAGTTGACAGCAAGTTGGTTGAAAAGTGATATGAGATAATTGTATATTTAATCCCTATACTTTAAGATATTTACAAGATTAGTCTTTAAATTTCAACTAAAAATATCTTAACTCATTTAGCTTCAAAACCATCCCAAATCATTCTAGCTTTCTCCAAATACTAGAGAATTTAGGGAGTTTACCTGAGAGTTATTTTCTCTTTTTTATCAAGAGAGAATTGTTATTGTTTTCTCCTTGTTAGATCGAGAGAAGTTGTAATTCCTATTTTCTCATAGTGAAATTCTTCTACTGTTGCTCGTGGTTTTTATCCTATATTATTTAGGGAGTTTCCACGTAAAATTTATGTATTCTTTATCTTCATTTTTATTTTCTCAAATTATCAGTTGCAATTTTGCTCTATCCGACAGCCGTATTCCGCAACAGTTGGTATCAAGAGCCAGATTTGAGTGTGTAATATCTACTTATTGTATTTGTGGTTGCCAGCGAAAGGTTGATCTTCCAACATAAGAAAGTAAGAAGATATTACCCATTCTTTGAGGGTTCCAGAGAACTATTCACGATAGTGAAATAGTATCCGTAATAGATGCTATGACAATGAAATTTGATATTGAAAAGTTCAATGGGAGAAATTTCTCATTGTGGAAATTGAAGATGAAGGCCATTCTGAGGAAAGATGGTTGTTTAGCAGCTATCAGTG